AGGACTTTCAGTAAAACAAGGGGAAGATGGTGGAAACTGTGAAGACTCTGGTGAATAGCTCCTCCCCATGAAGGGAACAGGACTTAGAACACACAGAGCCCTTTCTACAGTGCCTGGGGCATGCTGCTGTTTTTGTTCTTTCTCTTTGCCTCTAATGAATTCTGTCAGGCAGCAAGAGCTTCTCTCCCAGGCACATTCACAAAGGCCCAATGGCCACTTGGCAGCTTTGCAAGGGACCTGGATAGAGATTTGTGCAAGATCCAGGACTCCAACTTTCCTTCTGCCTGCTCATGTCATTCTGACAGCACCATTCAGTATCTAGTTGCCTGGATATGTAGATGAGTCAGAAAAGCCGGACCACGTCCTTGCTGCATTCAGCCAAGCTTGGCTTAATTTGGTATTAGAGCTGAGATCCCCATCGAGATCTTTCCTGTCCTGAGATCTTCTTGTTCTGTGTGGCTGTAGCAGGGATAGGTATGCAATGTAGAGAATCTCTTTTTCAAAGGAAAACCATTACGTCTCCTGGGCAAACAGAAAAAGAAGGGCTGCAGAAAATTCTAGAACAGCTGGCAATATAGCTCAGTTGTGGAGCAATTGCATAACTTGCATGAGGCCCTGGATTCAATCCCTAGTATTGCTAGGAAGGAAGCGGAAGGAAGGAAGGAAGGAAGGAAGGAAGGAAGGAAGGAAGGACAAATAGGAAAGAAGGAAGGACCCAGACAGGAAGTACACAGATAGGAAAGAAGGAAGGACATGGATAAGGCAGGAAGGGAGGGAGGGAGGGAAGGAGGGAGGGAAGAAAGGAAAGAAGGAAGGAAAAGAGAACGGAAGGAAAGAAGGAATAAGGCAGGAAGGGAGGGAGGGAGGGAAGGAGGGAGGGAAGAAAGGAAAGAAGGAAGGAAAAGAGAAAGGAAGGAAAGTTGGTCATAGCATGTACAACTTGCTGCTTTGCCTCATAGTTTGTCTGTCTCTGTCTCTCTCACTGTCTCTCCTTTTCCCTCTGGTGTCTGCGTGTTTGAGCTATTTGATGCTGTGCTTCTTTGGAACCATGTTATTTCTACACTGAAAGACCCTCACAGGCACCCATGGTCCTGCCCTTTACCTCAGATGTTCAGTCCACCTGTTGCTAGGGTCCCCCAGGCCCTAGCTTCCAGTGATGTCCTATCAAGCCAGCATATTCATCCCATAAATCTGTTGCTACATCCCAAGATATGGTAAATTCCACAGTGGCCTATGCTTGGTCCCTAGAGTGGGCTGGAGTTGGGTTCCTGCTCAGTGTTCCTCTGCACTCTGGCACTGCCAGCAAGGAATGTGGTAGTTGCCACCAAGAAATGACTTGGGTTGTGTTCCTGACCCCAAGTCTTCTAGGTGTAGAGGCTAACAGTGGTCACTAGGTGGTCTAAGCACATTGGCTGAAAATGGGGTCACAGAGAGCAAAGGGTAGAGGCAGAGAACCCCGGGAGGGTAAGTCGGTGCAGCCTCATACCCCATTGTCTCGTAGGACTTTACTTGCACAACATGAATTAAAAAGTTTTTAAGGGTTCCAAGATGCCATTGTGGATCATTCAGCCAGAGTGTGGTCCCTTTCTGAGTATGGGGACCCTGTGTATCTGCTCTGGTCACTTAGCCCAAGAAGTCAGCTCTGGGCTATGAAGAAGTAAATAACTTCAAATAAAAGACACCCAAGCCCATGGTGCATATGTAGAGAGAACACAATTTATATAATAAATTAGTATGTGATCAAATACTACATTTAGCTTTCTGTATAGTTACTTTGCAAGTTATTGAGCAGTTGAATCCCTGCCCTCCAGCTCTCCAATTCCCCAAATTTGATTTAGCAAAGTGAGGGGAGACTGCTCAATTCATGACATTCAGTCTTCTTTGCTCACGCTTTTCTCTGAGTGCAAGGCACATGGGAAACCAGCAGAGCCAACACTGGTATGAAAGCCAGAGGGCTGAAGGAAAATCAGTGTGCTTGAGTTGAAAAAGTGGGTCAGAAATGGAGAGGGAGGAGTGGGCCAGGCTGTCAGTGTGGGTAAGTTGGCCCTGGTTGAGCAAGAGTACCTGGCCACCTGGCGAGAATGGAAACTGGGATTGGAATTACAGAGGATTATAGCAAGAACCCATCCCAGAGGGGGAAGTGAGTTCTTGGAGGAGGCAGAGGAAACAGCTCACTCCTCCAAGGCTCCGTGGGTGGATCTGGGCTGCACAAACCATTAAACCCCTACCCTGCAGCTCTGGCACCTGAGCCGAAGGAGGGAGCTTGCCTTGTTCTGGTTCTGGTTGGTGCTAAAAACTGACCCATTACAGTTCGAGCAATTTCCCCCAAATGAGAGGACGTTTGGCGTATTGGTCAAGTCCCTCATCCAGGTCAGGGGGCTTGTGATCGGTAAGCAAATGACAGTAGGGGACAGTTGGGATGCTCCCTTAAAAGTGGTGGTTCTTGAGTTGGCAGCTTTTATTGAGTTCTTTTGTCACATCCTCCTCCAGGCCTGCTTGCTTCCCTTGGCTCCAAAACCTGAGCCGAGCACTGGTCCAGGCTGCTCAGCTATCCTTCCTCCTTGCACATTAACTGCTTTTATTTACAAAACAGGAATCTAAATGCAGGTTGGTATTATCAGCCAGTTGAAATATAAGCTGTCTAAATGGTTCCTCGAGCCAGCAAACAGGACCGTTGGCCTGGGACGGAGGGAACATAGCTGAGGGACCGCACTTAGCCATCAAGCTGCTGTTGTAAATATTTGCCGACACTCCTTCAGGGCTCGAAAGCCCAGGACAGGATCATTTGGAGATTTGCTTAGAAGAAGTAGAAACAAAATTGACCTCACGGTCTGAGGCAGCCATAAAAAGGAAATGCGTGTGTATGGGCAGAAGACCAGAAAGGGGGGGGGGAATTGTTCAAAGTTTAATAAACACAAAAGAGAATAAAAATAAATCTGGGAAGCACTTATTTACAAACTTGATGAAGGAGAAGATTGTGGCAGAGGGGTGTGAAAGATGGCTGTTTGTGGAAGTAGAATGGAGATCCAGAGGGGCTCCATGCAAAGAAAAAGGGGAGGGGAGAAAGGAAGATGTTTACACTGGCTAATGACAGGAAACACACAAAATTGGTCTTGCTCTTCCAGGATGTGCTTTCAAAGGATGTTTGAAGCCTCTGCTGTCTAACACCCAGGATAAGGAAGATGGATGTGGCCACGCCTCCTGTGAAAGGTTCTGGCCAAGAGGGTGTGGAGAGCCAGGGAGCCTGGCCTGCTCTGCCAGGGCGAAGGAGCTGTTTTCAGCTGTGCTGCTCAGCATAGGATTAGGAGTCATGATTGCTGGGATGGGTGTTTTCCAAGCAAAGAAAAGTGGATGTTGTCTCAGCAGCTACCTTATAGGACTGCTATGCTAGGGAACTCCAAAGACTGTCCTGTTGGGCTGAAGGCTTCCTGCCATCTCCTTCACAGAGGGCCATCACAGTGTCTCAGCCAATACCTTCATTTCTCCAAAACCTGCTTATTTTGGATTTGTGGGGCTGTTTGTTTGTTTGTTTCTGAGAGTTCTGGTTTGCCAGGTACAAAGCCTGGATTCATAGGGCAACTGACTTGGAATTCATGAGCCTGAATTTGCAGTCTCAAGGATATGGGGAGAGATAAGAAAAGGTGCTCATGAGGCAAAAACTGCAGACCTCCTAAAGATGAGGGGCTGGAGTACCCTCACTCCAGCATAATTGTCACGGATTTATGAGAGCTATTTATATCTGCTTTAAGATCGGCAAGATGGCTTGTTTAATAAGTTAGTGTTGCCAATAGCCTGATACCTGACTCATTCAGGATGCCTGCCGATGATCAACTATGCAAACAGACCTTTGTGGGACTCTGTGCATTCAGAAGCCTGTCCTGAATATGTAGGAGGTGGGAGGGGAAGAAGTCCCTTGCAAATAGCCTCAACTTTCCAGATTTTAGAAATTTCCCAGGGGAAAGCAAAATAAACACAATGCAGAAACCATCAGCACATTTAGAGAGAAACATAACCATGAATTATGTTTTAACGAAGCCTTGTGAATGCTTCTAGATTAGATGGAATATTCCAGAATGAGGAAGGTACATTTACAGAAAATTTTGCAAGGTTATAGAAACATACTCAAAAGCCAGTGATCTGTGGGTGCTCAATGTGGGAGGTGGAATCAGAGAGTTAGGACAGCTTGCTCAGGTCTTGGGGTAGCCTCACTTTCATACTCAAAAGCAATGGGAGTTGCTAGAAAACAACAGCAAATTCTAAGCAATGCTCAATCTTGAAATCGTTGCATACTATCCATCATAAATGCTGCCTTCCACAAGGCTCCAAAATAATGGAATTGGTGCTTTCTTCTTTCTGAGCTAGGATTCCCTTCCGCCTACCTGCAGATTGTATAACCCACCCCCAAGAATTTGATGGCTGGACCAGATGTGCATAGTTTGTGGATCTATTTTTGTTTTTCAGGTTTCCTTATCATAACTTGGTCATGTGCATGAAAACCCAAACTCTAAGAGTAAAAATAAGGACTCAGTCCATGAGGCTGAATAGGAGTGGAGTATTTGGAGCCAAACTTTCAAGGAAAAAAAACACACGGGCAGAAGGCTTGCCATTTAGGAGCTATTTTCTTGGCATATCTGATTAAAGTGTATGCAAGCCCGGCAGCCCTCTCCAGCCATCAACTGTCATGAACTTGTTCCAATTCGTAACCATCTAGGGTTTTCCACTGGTCTGTCAGCCTTCAAAAGACAGGGTTAACTGCTTGCTTTCAGACGTGGTTGGAAATGGTTTGTTAATCGCTCTTAATCTGCTTCTCCTGGAACTAAACACACATGTTGATTTTCATTTTGTTCTTGGTTAAATTGTTAATGGTATTAAATTGGCCATTGGAAATGAAATTCTGTAGACATTTCCCATATGGCTCCTTGGGACCATCTCACACTGTGGTCTTTCTTGAGAACATGGTGGGTTTAATCTTTCTCAACCGTTGCCCTAACTCTTTACAGATGCCATCCCGCCCACTTTCTACAGACCCTACTTCAGAATTGTCCGCTTCGATGTCTCAACGATGGAGAAGAATGCTTCTAATCTAGTGAAGGCAGAGTTTAGAGTCTTTCGTTTGCAGAACCCCAAAGCCAGGGTGGCTGAGCAGCGGATCGAACTGTACCAGGTAACCTTTGTTTGGGCTGCATTAGCAGGTGAAATACTTTCTACCGGTAGGATTTTCTTCTGCAATCTGTGTGATCTGAGTCCTGCTCTGTCATTAGTCTTACCAAAACAGCTGGTCCCTCGAGGCTCAGCAAGGAAGGAATGTAGACACAAGACCCAACACTGCACACCCTCCCTCGGTGCTGTAAGGACTGGAGCACTCGCCTTGGGAGACTTTAGTCCACAGGTCAGGCCTGTCATCTGGGAAGCCAGAATGCACATGCCAGATGCCCCCCTTTCCCCAGAAGGGCAGCTGAGCCGGGATCTCCTCCCTTCTCCTTTACCTCCCTCTCATCTTCTCCTCGGCTCCTTCCTCTCTGCCCCTGCCTTTCCTCCTCATCTCCTGTTTACGATAACCTGTCTCACCTCTCATGCGTGCTTCCTTCCCCTCTCTGACTAGCCGATCCCTCAATGCATCTCTAGCCCACCTGTGTGCATGCCGCCCTGACGTCCCCCTCTCCCCTTGTCAGTAGAGCTGCTGGGCAGCTGTTTGGAACACAGACAAAGAATGGGGCCCCTGAGATTTCAGACATCGGACTCTGAACCAGGTGACTCAGGTGAAGTCTGTGGGGCTGAGGCTTGAGTGGCTTAGGAGCTATGAGAAACGCAGATGCTCATTCCCTACCCACTCCATTTTAAGGAGCTCCCTGGGTAATTGGTCTGCACTAGGAAGCTGCTCTTTTTGTTGTTGTTGTTGTTTTAAGCCTTACATCTGGTGAGGAAGACAGACGTGCAAGCAAGCACACAGGTTAAACGTCATCACGTTACGTGAACAGCACGTGCGGGTGTAGAGGGCAGAGCCTGGGAACTCTTAGCAAGGAGCCGGTGCTCAAAGGAGGCTTCCAAAAATGTCTCAACAAAGGTGAGGGGTCACTGTGAGCAGAAGCAGCAGTGTAGTGACAGGCATTCCAATTTATTTGGTATTATGTATTTAGTTTTGCAGTGTTGGGGATCAGGCTCAGTGCCTTGTGTATGTTGGGCAAGCACTCCACCACTAAGCGAAACCGTCAGCTCCCACAACAGCGTCATCTTATTCCATGTACTCAGGAGAAGGTGTTCCTGCAAGGAAGGACCAGGAGAAGGTGACCTCCAGACAGCGTGGAGACGTAATGTAACTGAGAGACGGAAGGAAATTAAGGACAGATTCTGCCATTAGGGTTTAGTGGTATGATTCGCAGGTGATCTTGCTTGAAGAAAAGAAAACAATTGATGACCATCTGCAGAACCCTCATTGTTCTGGGTTTTAATTCTTGGGAAAACTGGATAATCAAGATGAGGATTTTTCATCATATTCTTTACAAAACCAGGAAATTGCTGGACAGGGACATGCTACATGTGAGTTCATGAGAATATATGAACAGTTTTTAAGTAGGGTTCAGGAACTAGCTCTGTAGTGGTCATGTAGAACGTTTTCTTATTGTCTAGAATGGACCCTTCGTTAGAATGGGTGTTCAAGTCTTGGCATGTGTTCCGAGAGCACACTGTGGGCAGCTCATGCCTCATAGACAGTGTTGAGCCAGGCCAGCATCGGAGCGGTGCATGTCTGTGCTCCTGACTGTGCCGTGGCCACTTCAGCAGAGGTGTGGCATGTGACTGTGTTACTTGCCCTGCCTCCTTCTTTCTCTATCTTATAGAGAAAAACGGCTAAACTGAATCTCTGAGACAGTTTTTTATTTTGTTTGTTTTTACTTTTTATTCTTTGGGGGCCTACCACCTAGCTCCTAACTAAATCACAAGGAGGCTTATTCTTTCATGAATGCCTGGCCTTAGCTTGCCTTGTTTCTAGGCAGTTTTTCTTATCTTAATTATCCTGTTTATCCTTTGCCTCTAGGCTTTTATCTTTCTCTATTTCTGTATACCCTTCTTTCCTTCTTTCTCCTCGGCTGCTGTGTAGCTGGGTGGCTGACCCTTGGAGTCTTCCTCTCCTCCTCTTTCTCTAGATCTCCTCCTGGATTTCTCCTTCTATTTATTCTCTCTGTATGCCAGCCTGCCTTGCTATTGGACATTTATCTCTTTATTAGATCAATCAGGTGTTTTAGATAGGCAAAGTAACACAGCTTCATAAACAAATGCAACATAAAAGGATGCAACGCATCTTTGCATTATTAAAAAACTGTTCTATAGCATAAAGAAATAAAACACATCTTTAACTAATATTCTACAACAGAGATTAAGTGACAGGTAAACTGTTTGAAAAAATTCAGTTGTTCAGAGAGCAAACCCTAAAGTTTCCAGATTTGATTACTATGTCTTTTGATATTCTGTTCCCTAGAGGTTGACGTGGTGACTCTGTGGCGACTCTGAGTCAGCTGAGAGTGATTCCTGGAAGATACAATAAGATACATTGGGATTCCTCAGGGCACTGATCAGAAAGGGTGTGTGTGTGTAAATTTGCATGTGTATCCAGTCATTTCCCCAGCCTGTAGTCTCTTGAAGAATTTTGTAAAAGGACTACCCATGATTGCCTTCTCGGAGACTCTGCTTCTTCCTGGGAAGAGAAAGGGCAATTGCTTCTGGACCCAGGTGGTTTCCAAAAGCCTCCGTGATGGCCGAAGCTTGATAGCCTAGAGCTTGGGACTAGGAGCTTCCCAGTCTCACTTGGGAGGTAGCTAGTTTTAAATAAGCTCATTAGCTGCAGATTAGTGAATCAGATTTTACAGCACTTCCTCCCCAGAGCAACGGGCTGAGGCACCCCATTCCTATAGGGTAGAGCTTCAGAGGAAAAACCACCAAAGTGCCACCTCCTCACAGGGAGTTGGTGTGAAGTGATGACCAGTGATGCTGCCAGGTAGCCAAATGATACACCCATGTGAGCCAGCGGGTGGTGGATGTGTTGAGATAAACTAAACACAGTGGGTTTAAGAGGAATGTAGATTCTTGATCATGGACGTCCAAAGCCCTGTCAACATTCATTTTTATAGAGAACAAAGACACATAGATTTGGTGCACCATGAACTTACCATGAGAGCACCCCTCTCCAGTGCACTCCGTCAGAACTTTGACGGTAGGAGAACCAAAGCTGCCCTCCACTTTCTCAGACCTCCCTCCTTCTCTGTTCAACATAGTTTCTAAAGGACCAAGCTCTCCTAGCCATAAATCATCCATATCCATTTGATTCTTCACTGCAAGCTGTCGAAGTCATTGGACTTTCATATTTGAGGATTTGTGGAGAAAAATGAGTGAACTATTTTAGTAGTGAGAACAAGTCATCCCCTACCTAAGCAGGCAGTCTGCATAGTTCATCTATGCCACACTCTGAATGTGTGTGCATCTCTGAGCTTTAGGTTGAAAGTCAGGGTGGATGTTGGATGGCCTAGTCCGGAGAGAGCCTGGTTTCCTAAGATGTGAAAGGAGGGGCTCCTAGCTACTGTAGAGAGAACAGTGCAGATGGATTTAATGAAAACTGCTTCATTTCCCCCCACCTACCCAGTGTGTGTGTGTGTGTGTGTGTGTGTGTGTGTGTGTGAGAGAGAGAGAGAGAGAGAGAGAGAGAGAGAGACAGAGACAGAGACAGAGACAGAGAGAGACAGAGAGAGACAGAGAGAGACACAGAGAGAGACAGACAGAGAGACAGAGAGAGAGACAGACAGAGAGACAGAGAGAGAGACAGACAGAGAGACAGAGGGAGGGAGAGAGAGAGAGCTCTCAGCTTTCATTTCTCATATTGCCCAAGGGGATATAAAATAAAAAAAGAGGTCGGCCAGAAAACCTGTCTGTTAAATTAGACTTGCAAAATATGCTACTGAAAAAAAAAAAGTTGTACTGTGCTCCTGTTGTGTGGAATTTTACAGCACACAATCCCCTTAAGACTGACCTCACTTCTGGCGCCACGTTGGAGACATACACAGCATAGTAACCATTTCAACCCCCCTCCAAAACAAATAAACAAACAAAACAGCCATGATGTATAAAAAATACTCTTTACACAAGGACATCAGTATCTCAGGGTTTTTCAAAGTGATCAAATGGCATGCCTGCCTCATAAGGAAAATGAATTGTTATCATTTCCATCAAGTCATGATGCTGCTGGATGCCAGCTAGCCTCCTGAGTAGATGGGCCTCAAAGTCACACGGACGCCTTCTGGACTGAATTACACACACACAAAAAAAAAAACCTGCCCATGCAATAATAAATAATAACTAGCAGTGCTATTACTCCCCTTTTCATATTGTAATCCAGGAACATTACAACAGTATTGATAATCATTGTTAACACATACAGTATTCACTGTGTGAATAATGTGCGCTCTCTCTCTCTCTCTCTGTGTGTGTGTGTGTTGTGTGTGTCTCTCTCTCTCTCTCTCTCTCTCTCTCTCTCTCTCTCTCTCTCTGTGTGTGTGTGTGTTGTGTGTGCCTCTCTCTCTCTCTCTCTCTCTCTCTCTCTCTCTCTCTCTCTCTGTGTGTGTGTGTGTGTGTGTGTGTGAAGAACCATTACCCCCTTTCAAACCTGAGGAAAGGTAGGTAATGCCATCTCCTGCATGGTATAAACAACGACACTGGAGCCTGGTGAACTTCAGAGACTGTGTTGGCCACCGGGTCAGAAGAGGACCATGCCGGGATTCCCATCCAGGCTGTCTGGCTCCAGGAGCCATATTCTCAACCTCTTCCCCTTATTAACAGAAAGCACAAGGCTGTGGAGTTGGGACCATGTGTGCTGAAAGCAGAGCTTTGCCCTTTGGGATCCCAAGGAAGTCCTAGGGCAAGAACTATTTGTGAGTTGGTGCAATACAAACACAAGCACCTTCCTTGGCAGAGATTTGGCAGGTGCAGGGTTCGTGCAAGGAAACCTTGAACAGGCTCTATCTCCCTAGCAACCACCATTGTAATTTCCCAAGCCTCCATTGGAATGCTTGTAGAACAGTATCTTCACTTTACAGATGGTTCCTGCATGTTATAAACCAAAGGTTGAGCACTGTAGTCCCTATTGCAGAGTCTGGTTCCTGGTTGCTCCCCCGTGAGTGT